TTACACTGGACTTTTTACATACAAATATCTATTACAAATGATAACTATTTAATTTAATCTCATTTATTTGTTAAGAGGGTATCTAGGACCAGGTGGTTTGCACGAAAACGCCGAATTTTTCAATTGTACAGGAGGGGCAAGTGGCCACATTGACCGTTCTATTCTTGGTGATCATATGTATCAAAAAGCTGAAGTAAAGGAAATATACCAATCAAAAAATGTAGAACCAGAAGGGTTGTTAGGTCAGTACCTTAATTAATTAATTTTAACATTATTCCCAGTTTTTCGAAATACCTAAATTTTCCGGCATGGTACCTAAATGCACTTAGTTTTTCACGAATTTCCGAAAAAAATATGTATAAATATTTCTATTTATTAGCATTGTCTTTGGTCGCAGGGTTCTTTACTTCCATATTACATGTTGTAATAGGGGCACAAGCCGGGGTAACTTTACAAACGTTTAAGGATCATACTGAACGCCTTAAACGGTGGTTTTCATGGGGTGCAATTTTAGCATTTATTGGAGGAGGTCTCTGTGGATTCAGCAAAGAAGGAGGCTTAATTCCGATCAATAAACAGCTCTGGTAAAGGATATTTATAAAATAAATGAAAATATTAATTATGGAAACATTTTAGGTCAACGTCCTTTGTTTTTGTAACTTGTGGTTCATCTTTCCTTCTGCTTTGTACTTTGTACTTTCTAATAGACGTAAAAAAAGTATGGAATGGGAAACCGTTTTCCTTTTGTGGCATGAACGCAATATTATTGTACGTGGGACATAATCTAAGTTACAGTATTTTTCCGATACGATGGATACCACCAGGAGGACTTAACAATTATTTTATAACATTAACAGAAAACGTATGGGGTGTTTCAATGTGGATTTTGGTAGCATACTGTTGCTATAAAATGAAATATTTTTTAACTGTGTAAAAATATTGGAAACTAACTACTTCTATTGAAATAAACACATGATTCCTTTAAACCTTAAACATAAATATTCATTTATTTGCATAATAGTTATTGTAAATAAATGAAATAAAAAAAATGACTAAAATGATGACAAACTAATAACGGGTTGCTTTTTTAAATAAATTCAATAGATCTTCCCTTATTCTTATAAATATTATACACTCTCTTAAACCATGATTCAAAAGGCATTTCTTTTAATGTTTAAAGTATATATATATATAGCTTTTTACAAACCTGCCATCACTAATTAAGCACACCATAGTCCCCTTGTCATCCACCCTCAACGGCAAAGTCCTTCAGAACTACATCATAACTCTTCGGCATCCATTTTTCTTTTGGAAACCATAAACTTGATCGTCATAGAAACATATGGTAGAACATAATTTTGATAGAACACGATCTTCCCATTTAATTATACTTACTTACTTCGTTGGTGTTGCCTTTCCCTGTCCTAGGCTTAATGTTAATGTTAATGCATTTATTTGGAATGTTCTCGACCTACTGAAAAGCTGAAAAAAATTTTTTTGCTCTGCAAAAGTATAAGTACGTATGTTGATTTTGATACATAAATAATAGTCAAAATAACAACAACAGCAATGAAATTGTGCCCCCTTAAGGGTGAGCTTAAGACCCCTGCCGGTGCCCAGTCTTCAAAGGATAAATTTATTTATCTTAGGGATAAATAAATAAAATATTTTTCATTTAATCAGATGTATTTTCAATAAGAACACAAAATAAATATCCAGTACAAGATAAAATAAAACAAGAACGATTTTATAAACAGTACCTGGGTATATATTATAATAATGAGATAAAGGGGATGGTGTGGGAGTCCTTACAGTCACATAGGAGGGGGTTTGAGGGAGGAATAACAAATTATGATTCAAGACAAAGTCGATGCAATCACAGATAAATTGCCGAAAACAAAAAAATTATGTACTTAATAATCAACTGCTGTCGTGAATAACTAGCGATATTACTTAATAATTTCAAATTACACACTTGATATGAATCGCATATAACACATTTGTTTTAGGATGTAATATAAATTCAATGACCTCAAAACATTTAACTTACTCTAATGGTACTGGATGAGGCACAAAATACAAAACAAACAACAGCCCCGTTTTAATATTAAGTTTTTTTTTTGTTGTTGTTACACATTTTTACAAGTTTTTCATATACATTTGTAGGTATGTATAGTAGTAATCATGTAATAAACATCGAAACTTCAAGCGATTGTAATGTTATGTAATTGTAATTGTTATCAAATTCAACGTTGAGATGAAGAAAAAAATAATGGATTAATTAATGAAAAACTATTTCCTTTTGTATTAAATCAAACGAAGCTGATGTCTGTTAGACGTGCCAAAGGTAAATATTAAAACTGTCACGATGTCACGCGACAAAGTGATAGTACTAAAATATTAAAAGTCTAACATCCCAATACTTCAGTGCAATATTTTTAAGTTAGGAAGTATGAAGGCATATAGATAGTTTTTTTATTAATATTTATACTAGTTTAAAAATTGTTATTTCATTAAGAGATGTGGACGTTTTGCATCCATAAGTGGGACAGATTTTATATGCAATACGTCGACATAATAAGTAGTATGTAAAAGCTAGAAAAACAAAATGATAATTCAGACTATCACAAATAATCAGCTTCAAAACTGTATATCTCAATAAAAAAAGAATTTTGTCCATCGTGGCAACTTTATCAAAATAAGTCAATTTTAGAGTACGCATTTTTATTTTTTGTTTTAATTTTTCAACTTTATACAAAAAAGCCAACAAACCGAATCTCTTTTTTTTTACCTCAAGGCACTTCAATGTGAAGTTACCAAGTTGACTAGATTTAGTTTAGAAAACAAATAGACACCACGATGGATCCAAATGGAGAACAGAGTTTCAGTGCAACTGTTTTTGATAACTACATGTAAGTATATAACAAATATATTTAAGGTTTTTCTTGTGAACTAATCACTTAACATCATACGTGACCTTAATGCAGTAAGTATCATTTATTGCTTAGTCAGACCTTGTTCTGCCTCACTAAAATCGAATAAATGAATTATTTATACTTAATAATTTCGACAACCACCGACTATCCTAAGCAAAGAAGTGGAAGGGAGAAATTAGTAAATAACAGGAAAAAAAAGACAGAAGAAAAATTAAACAAAAGTTTTAATTGGGAAGCC